GGGGGGGGGGCACCATGCTCAGTCCACAAATATGGTGGGTAGCCCTGTGATCTGCTCACAAAATTGGTTGGCCACCTCCACAAATTTGGTAGACCCCTAGATATGTGCCATGCCATGTGCTGTTGACCTACAAAACTCTCCCCTCCCCATATTAGGAGAACATTCACTGCATGGTACGACACATCTTGGCACATGGAATGTTGTCACATTTATACATATCCTGGAAGAGGGGAGGATGCTATGGGCCAGAAGAGTTTGGTCCTAACACCCAACCTGCACTCCCAACATAGCTCAGAAGCTGTCACTTTTACAAATCGGGACAAACTTCAGCAACCAGCCTCCATCACCCAGCAGGGAAACTCCTGGTGTGAGATGTAGAGCTTATTTATTCCAAAGACTAATATGGCTGGGTCCTCTCTCACAGAGACCCACAGGCAAGGTTATGAATTCATTCTCCGCTAAATTAGCTGCTGGACAGGCTGCATCCCTAGCCTGACAACTTAAGTCTTTATACCAGTATGGGAAGAGTAAATGTCCTGTTTCTGCAGCTGGGCTTTTATTGTCACTTGGGTAGAAGAAAAGTTTTTTTTAAATACCCTGGACTCTCATTTAATTTTAACACTTCAGTTTGGATTCTTGGGTATAGAAGGCTCATGCTTATGTCTGAGGGTGCCTCTGAGGCCAATTCTGACTTTATATATGAGTTCTGCTCTGTAATTAGGTCTACTGAAGAACTGATGCCATTGCCTGACAGTTACTGCTCACAAGTCACTCCTCTTGAATTATGAATTATTATTCCTGTCATTTATATGCATGGCACTACTAAACCATTTCTAGTTCTCCAGTGACATAGGAGGCCTGGTTTACAGGTATGTGTAGGGAAGGAATGACTGAACTGTCACTGGGAAGTGATGATAACCCCTTTGTAACTAGGGGTCAATAAAGGAGTTACGGTCACTTTATGGTGCTGTAGGCAGTAACTTGCACAAGACTGGATTACTACTAGCCAAGGCAGGTAGTGAGGACATCAGCCCAACTATACAGGCAGGGAGAAAGAAGAATATTAGCAAGCAGCACACAGAATCTGCTTCCGCACTGATCAACATCATAAAAATGAACGACTGGCAGCTGGACAAGATGTAAATCCAATGAGTGGCACTTGTCAAGGGATAAAGCTGAACCCCAGGGAAGACACTTTTATGTCTCTGCCTGTGGTCTGTTAACTTAAGCATGCAAATGTCAGGCTGCATGTGCGCTTGCGCATGCACTCTGACAATGAAGAAGCAATTTTCATTTCCCTCTTTTCTGAATTTGTAAACCTTCCTGTTTGAGTCATTTTAGCCACAGTTATCTCACATCACCCATTTTCCTCTTGCCACCCTGTGCAAGCAGTGGTGTTTGTGTGGGTGAGGTCATGGCTCAGCTCCCAATAGCCCTTCTTCTTTCTTACATAGTGAATGTTATACCCCGTACAGTATCCAGGTGCATCTGTGGTGACAGACCATCTTATTCCATTAGCAGCAATTACTGAATCCATCTCAGTGCCACAGAGGAAACAGTTAAGCTAACTGCACTCCTTTATAGCAAATCTGTCAAAAGAAATGAGTTTGAATAATGAAAGTCACTTTTCAGACCAAGCCTGACACAGACCTGCCTCTGCCCCTAAAGCCTACTGCTCCCTAGTTGCTGTATGTGGACTAGTTTCATTCTCCTGTCAGCTTTGCTTCATATTCCAAATCAATCACAGAGGACTAAATGGTGTTAGCTTGATCAGCACCTGCATACTTCTACCCCTTGGGTTTTTCCTCTGAAATTTCTCAGCCACATTAGCTCATATACCATCAATGGAACCTGCACTATCTCAGAAGGCTCTAACAGAGGAAATCTTAAGGATATTAAGGAACTTTATTTGGGAATAGAACATATTTTTGTCAGCGAGAAGGGAATCTTCTAAAGGGAAGTTTAGGTTGGATATTAGGAAAAACTTCCACACAAGCAGGGTATTAAAGCACTAGAACAGGTTGCCTAGAGAGGTTGTGGAATCTCCATCCTTGGGGGTGTTTTAAGACCCAGCTAGACAAAGCCTCAGCTGGGATGATCTAGTTGGGGATGGTCCTGCTTTAAGCAGGGGATTGATCTAGATGACCTCCTGAGGTCCCTCCCAGCCTTAATTTTCTATGACTTCTTTCTAAACCAGGCACTTTCTCAAAAGGGCCAAACACAATCAATACTGTTTGCTACATGACTTTTGATAATCCCATTTGCAGAACATGCATCACTGTAGATTGAGGGTGCTGTGGGGCAAGGGTGGGTCATGGTGAACTGTTTGTCTCTCAGTCCATGGGTCCCAATCCTGCCATAATAGCCATAAAGGGCTGGGGGAACATTTATGCCAATGTAAAAACTTACTGCCTTCAATAATGGTTCAATGCAAATACAATTCCTTCAAAAGACCCATAATTAAAGCCAACAGACTTGTAGAATTGGGGTTTTACTTGATTTCCACTACAGACAAGAATGCTCAGCAGCAATACGTTTAGAGTATATTGGTGCAGTTCCTTTGGTGTAGGAGATAGACTTCTACTTCCGGAGATTCTGAATTATCTGAAATCTGCTGTTAAACCTTTTTGTAGCTAACTCTTTACTGGGAGAAATAAACACACAAAATGAACGAAAAACCACTTAATGTCTCCAGTGAGACAGAGAGAGAGCCTGACGCACAAGAACATCCAACCATTGTAAACACCAGCCCTGATGCACTGAAAATGATCAAAAAAACCATGAGAAACCTGTACAAAATAGAATCTGCCATCCAGATACTGATTCAGAGTGAACTGGTACCTTTACCAACTTGTTCAAAAGCACATGGTCCACACGTTACACTGAATCATAACCAACTCCCTCTCCTACAGGGTGGGGCATGGATCCACAGAATAAGAACTGGCATTTTACAGTCATTTGTCAGCCAATTGTTGCCAATTGCATTGGGAAGCAAAGTTAAAGCTGGGTGGACAATAAATGAAGAAACAGATGTAATGGCAACTGGTCTTCTGAACTGTTAGAATATAGTCTGCTCATTGTTTGGGGGGTTTCAAGAAGTGCAGAGTTTTTATGAATCCATACAATACAGGGAACCCCTGCTTATCGCTCTGAATTGGTTCCTGAAAAACCAAGCATTAAGTGAAATGGGGGGTAAGTGAAACCAAAAGTTTGACAATCCAAGATGGTGACCGCAAGTTTTTTTAATAACCCAAGATGGCGACAGAGTGTTATAATGAAACTCGCTGAGCATTGAGTGAAATCAGGTATCAATTTAAAATGAGCATTATAGTGAAATAGTGCTAAGTGAAACTGCGTTAAGCAGGGGTTGCCTGTATTTTTTATGGGCTGGGCTCCATTGAAACTAATTCTCACTGGTCCTTCTCGATTACAGGTCTTGTTTCTAAACTTTGTGTACTGCCCCATTTATTTAAAATGTGCTCCTACCGCTTAATCTGGGGGTTTTTTTTACAAGCTCTGAGGAAGTGAATTCCTACTGTTTTGTTTTTTTACAGATTTCATAAAGCCACCTTGGAAGACTTCCCTTGCCCAAACTATCAAATCCATGGGAAGTGTTTCTGATGGCTTGCTGCTTAAGTTGTGGGTTTAACAGACAGTGCACAACAAAAGTAAAGCAGAAAAGACCTCTCCACAAAGATTTTAACACTCTGCATTTCCCCAATTTCCTGTGGTGCCATGCACAAACACACCCCATATTCCTCCCTCAGTTTCTATGATGTCTCTGCTATGTAGAAGGTAGGATACATTTTCATCATATCGACTACCCAAAGTGTGTGCATACCCCCACCGCTCAGCATACCCAAAGCCCTCCTTTTTCCCTGGGGTGTGCAAACGCAGGCTTCCTCCACACATCTTGGTGACCCGCCAACTCTCCATCTCCTGCCTCGCTGCATTCCCCTTTACTTACTTGCTACCCCACCATCTCAACTTTGCCCTAAAAGTGGGAGTCACAAGGTGGTCAGTTTCTGTAACTATAAGTGTTTTTCTTTATAAATCCAAGCCACCACTCATTCTCTTATTAGCCTCCTTTATTCTGAGTCCCTCTTCTCAGCAACCCAGAGAGGTTTGCCTTTAATAGGCTAAACAAGTCCAGCAAGACAAGGAGTAGAAGGTAAAATACAGATCTGGTTTCAAAACACTACTGACAAAGTTCTGTTCTATTTTCACCCACCTCCTGAGAAAGTACACCCCTCTCTCCTGCAGCATTTCAGAGGCTCAGCTCCCCTTGGGAGGCTGATAACGAAGCATCAACTCCATCCTGAATCTGCCACTTTGTAATAAAGGCTTATGCTGAATACAGCTTGTGCAGAGACATGCTCTGGGTAGCCTTTGGGTAGGCAGAGAGCTGAAAAGAAATGCTACTAGCTGCCTAGCCCCAACCAGGCTCCAGCCACTGCTCCACTGACACTGTCAGAGGTCTGCTGTTCTCACTTGACTAGATGGAAGGATCCCAACTACTGTCTCCTACCATGAGTAGCAGTTCATTTACAGAGGCAATTCCCCAAAGGCAACTCACCCACATCCTGCTCATGTCAATCAGCTCATTCTTGTACCTCAGAGAGTCTTTTAGGACCTGGAAGGGAAATGGAGAAGAGGCAGTCAGAGGGCAAAGAGAGAGACAGAGCTTGCTAGCAAGCCAGCCACACTGCCAGGCTTCTAGCATCACAGAGAAAAGCTTTACTTTGTGAGAAGAGTTTGATTTAGCACCAAGAGCACGAAATAAGAAACAGCACCTCTGGGTTCTACTCCCAGCTCTGTTCCTGAGCAAGCTACAGCATGTGCATGCCTTAATTTCCCTATCCATGCAACAGAAGCAACAATCCACCTCCCAGCTCACACAGATTGAGGTCTTGTCTATACTTGGAAATTTACAGAGATAGATGTTTTGGAATAACTTCCTGTGAAGATGTTCTCTTTCCAGAATCACAGGCAACTTTTATTCTGGAATAAGGGCATGAACAAATGAATAAATTACAGTAAATTAGAACAGAGCTGGGACCTGCCATGGAGCAGCCGATGCAGAGCTTATTCTGTGGATTAGGTGCTTAAATGTGATCCTATTCCATCCTGTGTGAGCCCCTGAAAATCTTATTATTTCATCTACTTTTGTAATACCAGGTCCTCTTAGCCTTCAGTCTAAGTCACAAAAAGCAGCATGGTGGAGGAGCACCCACTGAACTTTTGTTAAGTTTTTCAGGGGATCAAGGTGGGTGGAACAGAATTACACTTAGGCACCTAACAGGCAGAATAAAATCTGGCCTCTTGTGGCTGGGTGCCCATAATTACCCTGCAGGAAGTAAAACCTAAACTAAGGCAAGTTAACTTTCAATAAAACAAGGGTTTTGATTCCACTGTGGTATGAAAGCAAGCACATGGACAGTCAACATGCATCAGTTCTTCCACGGTAAGTCCCTGCCCCCTTCACATTCCCTGATGTTTGCCTGCCACACAGAGTATCCATGGAGAGAGTTATTTTGGAATAGCTATTTTCATAAATCTCCAAGTGCAGGCAAGCCCTGAGAAGGCTTAATTTGTTCATGTCTGGAAAGTGCCTGAGATTCTGTGAAAGAAGATGGAGAAAGGCAAAGAATTAGTGTTCTTGAAGTGCATGTGTCTATGCAGTGGGCTTCCCTAGCATCTAGCAAAGAGGAGATGGGAACCACAGCAAGCAGAGGACTGGCTGAAGGATAAGGCATGCTGACGAACGCAAGATTAGTCACTGGGGAAGAACTGTTTCTGTTTCCAGGTCTCAGCTCTAGGTTGGGAGAGACAAGTGATGGATTAAACACTTCTATTGTCTTGTGCAAAGTGTTAAACAAAAAAAGTATACATCTTTCCCTTGATCAGCTAAAGACCTGGGCCTGAGGAGACACCAAGGAGTGGGTGGAGGCCATTGTTGGCATGGATTTATGACCCAGATACTTTGTTTTGGGCAGACCCAAACCATCAGACTGACCACAACCCCTCCACTCGATAACAGGGGAATTTTATTGATGTACAGTGATAGCAGATAAGAATAATGCAAACAATTCTATAGCTACCAGTCCTAGAGCTGTCACAGGGTGAAAGTATATGAGCTTCACCCTGAGGTTCTTTCTTGAATGCCAGATGTCAGCAGCTTGGGGGTCAAAGACTTAGGCAACACAGTAGGGTGGGTGAGATGGGCTGGTGGTATGCCCTCTGGCCATGTTGGCCTTGGGTTCCCCTCTCAGGGGCCCTCTGCTGCTCTGAAATCACTTCTTTTGTATTCTTTCTCTCCCTCTGATGACTCGTTATTTCCAGGCATCGTTGATTGGTCCGTCTCCCTGTGGTCATCATACTGTCAACATTCTGTCCTGTCAGCATATTCCTTTGTTTCACAAACCAAACACATGCACACATCCTAATCTGGTTCTGTCCACTATCCTCCTAACTTTGTCAGTTCCCCCAAAATCAGAAACCCCAAAGCACTACAGTTGGGTACTGTGACCGGGCCAACACAGCAGAGTCCGTTATCTCTGTTACGGTACAGTGTTCATGTTATGGAATAGTGTGGTACATATCTTCAAATTCCCAGCCTATGTGTCTGCTTGCTGTTTGCCTGTGTCAAACACAGTGGGCCCCGAAGAAGACTCTGCCATAAAAAGGCTTTTAAAAATCAATTAACCCTTGTCATTACCCTGGACCATTGTTCTGATGCAATATCTACTTTACGTATAAGCCAGTTCCCAAAAGCAAACCTCTAAATATTAGGGGTGCACTGACAGAGATTTTGGGGGCCGATACCAATAGCTGATATTTAAAGAGGCATATTGGCCGATACCAATCCAATATGTGATACAGCTGCCTCCAAGTGCTAAGTCCGGTGTGGTGGAAGGGGATGGGGAAGGGAAAGGGCTCTTCTCGCTGAAGGCTGGATTCGGAGCAGGCTCTGGCGGCACTGCTGCAGCTACCCCAAATTTCACCACAGCTCTGCTCCCAGCCCCGTGCCGCTGCCTGGTGCAGCTGTGGCTTTTCTTGGCACTTGGGTGGAAGTGGGGCGTACAGCCGGGGCTGTGTTGGGCAGCAGGCAGTGGTGTGGGGCTGGGATTGGAACTGTGGCGAAATGTGGGGTGGTAGCAGCCTCCTCCCAGGGTCACGGAAGCCCGCTCTGAGCACACGACCCCCTGCCTCCACCCTCCCCCATGAGTTGCAACTCTGTCCCATGCCCCACTCCCCAAGCTGTGCAGCGCATGCCCCCTCTCTCACCACAGGGGGTGTTGATCTGTCTCCCCACGCCCCTTCCCTACCCCCTCCCCTTCTGACTTACCAGCTGGAGGCAGCTCTCCATGCTGCCAGTTCTGCTCCATGTTGTGCTGCGGCTGTGTGCAGCACGGGCATTTATCGTCCAAATTACTGGCCCCATAGGGCTGATATCCCACATAGACAATTTTCTTCATATTGGTACTGATTTGATATTGGACCGATGTATCAGTGCAACTCTACTAAATACCATTTTCTAGCCATCAGCCATTGTTAGGGCAGTAATACTGGCACTTAACAGCTTTTTCAAAATAGGATAGGAAAGGTGTAAAATGTGTGTGGTGTATAGGAGTTCAGAAGGCCCAGGATGGGGAATGGAAACAATAAAACAGGGCTTATTCTCCTTCCCCAAACCTGCCCATTTCTCCCTCTTTTTGATAAATACAGAATTACAGCCTCAAGTGATCAAAAATCCTAAAGCTGGTTTAAAATCCTGAAGTAAAAAAAAAACAGGTAAACTAAAATTTAGGTCTTTTATGAGCTTTCCTGATCTTTTATTCTTTCTTTTCAGATTCTCAACAAATATTCCACTCAAAAAGGCTAAGACTATCACATCTCTGGAGCTGAGACTTTAGAAAAAACATCAAGTATTACTAGACATGATCTACAAGAACTGGCAACACTATGATTGCCCTGCAAGGTCATCCTCTTCCTCACCTGTGATAATGGCTGAAAGTATGTCAGAAGCAGTCTTAGTATTCCTGCTTCCTACAGTGGTAGAAAGTGGACTTACATTTGGGTGTCCATCGCGGAGGAGCTTGTGGAACACGTGGCAGAATTTCCAACAGAGTACAGCATTGCTGGAGAGGGGCAGCCGATTGACAACGCACCAGAAGGTCTGAGCTCCTTTCTCATGGTGAGTTCCCAGGATGCATGGTGAAAGACAGTGCTAAGAAAAATCCAGTCCATATAATTCAGAGTGCACAGTACATAAAAGTGAGCTTACTTGGCAAAGACACTGCTCTGTTAATATTCTAAACCCCAAAGTCCTTAGCAAGCCTTGCAGTGAACAGTCAAGAACTCCCTGCTAGGATATTTACAGCCAGGCACTGAGAAGGCTGTGTGTCAGCAATATGGCAACAGGGACCTGGAGTATACATGACTTGTCTGGTGGGGGAAAAAAAGGCAGCTGAATCTTTTCAAGCCACCACCTGGGACGTGCCTCCAAACCCAGTGCAACTGGTGAAGCCTCTGAAATCTGCAACTGCTCCTTTCTTTTGGCAATTTTCTCCCTCCTGTCATCATTGTAGTTGTCCAGAAACTCAATCCCCTTCCTTGCATCTGCCATTTATTCATTTCATCTCTCATCAGTTGAGCATGGCAAAGGCATCTTGTTGGCACGCCTTGGTGTGGACAGCAGAGAAGGAGAAGGGGGCTGAGGCTGTGCTGCCAAAACAAGGATTGGGCCCCTTGCAGCTCCCTGCCATCTTCCCCTGGCATGCCAACATCTTACAAGTCAAGGCTGCAGATGTTTTTGGCACTCTGCCAAAAAATGTTGCTAACCCCCGCTCTATATGGAATAGTCCCCAAAGGAACTACATGACACTTCATCACTAAGTTTCATAATTTCATAGTTGGTAGGGTCGGAAGGGACCTGAGCAGATCATCGAGCCTGACCCCCTGCCATGGGCAAGAAAGAATGCAGGGGTCAATTATATGCTGGAGGTTGCATATAGGTTATGCAACTATTTGCTAGACAACAAAAGAATGCTGGGGAGTAGTGTTCCTTGGCACTGCTCCTGGCTTGGGGAAGAAAGGCTGTTCAGTAGTTGGAACTACTAAACACTAGCAGTGACTGCAGACAGGGTAGCCAAGCACACAGATTGGGCACAGTGGGAACATCTACATGTGCAATTAATGTGAAGGGATAAACTCCAGAGCTGCTTAAACCACAGTACACTGCTCCTAGGCATAGCATTCACATGTGTGCCCAGAACAGCACTTTGATCTGAGGTGGAGCAGGCCTGGACTGGCAGCAGGTTCGGGGGGGGGGGGG